TGCTGCCTTTCTTGTAGCGTCTACCATTGATAAATTTGTCCATTCCTGAATGTTAGACAGCCAGGTTTTCCTTGGTCTTCCCCGGCCTCTTTTTCCAGCCACTCTGCCATGCATTATGGTATTTGCAAGGCTTAGGGAACTGTAATTACGGGTGACGTGACCAAACCACTGTAATTTTCGCCTCTTTACAACCGACAGCAACGTTTCTTGGTTCCCACATTTTTGTACAATTTCTTCCTTAACGCTCTCATTAGTTCTATGGGCAGTGTAAGGAATGCGCAGAATTTTTCGGTAGAATTTTATTTCGAAAGCGTTGATTCTCTTCTCCGACTCAGCGTTGAGTGTCCACGATTCGCAGCCGTAGGTCATTGTGGCTAACACAATTGCTTTCATGAACCTTGTTTTTGTTTTGACTGTGATGCTACTGTTCCTCCATATTGTATCTAACTTAACTAAAGCAGCTGTTGCTATTGTTATGCGACTTTTAATTTCTGTTTGCGATTGTAGGTTGTAACTGATTTGGCTCCCCAAGTATTTAAAACAGTTTACTTGTTCCACTTCTTGGTTCGAAACGGTTATAGGTTCATTCGACTGCACTTCTTCCTTAGCTGTCACCATCACCTTGCTTTTTTCTGAACTTATCTCCATACCATATTTCCGGGTAGTAGTGTCAAGCCTTTCAGTGAGATCTCGTAGTTCATCTTCACAGGACGCGATCAAATCAATATCATCAGCAAAGCGCAAATTCGAAACTATTCGTCCATTAACTTTAACACCTCCATGAAAGCTGTCTAAAGCTTCTCTTATAATGAACTCCAAGAAGAGGTTGAACAAGTATGGAGACAAAACACAGCCTTGCCGGACGCCTACTTTGGATCTGAACCATTTGCTCAAATTTCCTCCTACAAATACTAAACTCTTGGCGTGATCATAAAGCGATATAATGGTTTTAATGATGTTGTTACTAATATTATATTTCCGCATAACTGTCCAGAGAGCTTTGTGCCATACTCTGTCAAAGGCTTTCTTGAAATCGATAAAATTATGATACAGAGGTTTCTGGTGTTCTAGGTATTTTTCAGAAAGTATCCTAAGGTTACAAATTTGCTCTGTAGTGCTACATCCCTCTTGAAATCCAGCTTGTGCATTGTCCAGTTCTCTTTTAATTGTTGGTTTCATTCGATTAAGCATGACATACAGTAAAACCTTACTCGGGTGGCTTATTAGAATAATGGTTCTGTTGTTTTCATATTTCCTTGTGTTGCCTTTCTTTGGAAGTGGTATGACTAAGGACTCTGTCCATTTCGTTGGCCATTCACCAGTTGCGAGTGTCCTATTGCAGATCTTTAGTAGCATATCAATAATTTTGTCTCCACCGCTTTTCATCAGCTCCGCAGGGATGTTGTCCGTTCCAGGTGCTTTATTGCATTTAAGCTTCTTTAGAGCCTCTTCTGTTTCACTTCGGACTATCAGTGACTCTTCGATTTCTGGTGGTGGTAGATCGATTTCGTCAAGACATTTCTCTGAATTGTTGGCCTTATGATTGTAAAGTTCTTCACAATACTGTCTCCATCTTTCAGTAACCTCCTCAGGCTTTGTTAGGAGTTTTCCTTGTTTATCTTCTACCACTGAACATTTGGGTTTCCATTCTGATGACAGCTGTTTCACGGTATCGAATGCGGCTTTTACATTGTTGCGTTGATAATCCTCAATGCTAGAGCATTGTTGATTGATCCATGCCTCTTTTACTGATGCAATTTCTCTGTTCAATTTATTGTTTGCCTCTCGGTACTTCTCAGCAGCCTCCTCATTGTCAAAGCGATATTTCTTCAGTTCTCGTCTCTTCTCACATTTTGTTAGGACTTTGGCTGTAATCCAATGTTTTCTGATCTTCCTTTTCTTTCCAAGGTGTTTAGTCGCAGCTTCCTCAACAGTCTTTTCAAATTGTGTGGCAAGGTCCTCTGGTGATTTTTTTTTAAGTAGTAGAAGGGGTGCAAATCTTCCTCCTATGGTTGCCTGGAAGTTCTTCAAAACTTGTGGGTCTTTCAGTTTCTCTAAATCATACTTAATACGAGTCATTTGATCTTTCTTTCGAACTCGAAGTTTCAGCTTTGTCGTCATCATGAGAAGTTCATGGTCACTGTTTACATCCGCTCCAGGAAAGACACGTGTTTTTCACCGTTTATGCTTGATTGATATCTTTTTTGTATCAAAATAAAATCAATTTGGTTGTGTTTGACTTCGCCTGGGGAATGCCATGTGACTGTTCTTGACTTCTTATGTTGAAGAAGAGTATTCGCAACAACTAGTTTGTGTTCTTTGGCAAATTCAAGTAGTCGGGTTCCCCTGTCGTTGGTGTCCTCAAGACCAAATTTGCCGGCAACGTCATGCCAGTTTTCGTTGGCATCTCTACCGATTTTTGCATTCCAATCACCTTGGATGACAAGGATATCTTTCTTGTTAATTTTTTGATCGTTTCATTCAGTTCTTGGTTGAAAAT